TATATATATATATATATATATATCTGCACTACTTCTATAACTATATGTGGACACAGCAAAGCTATCACCTTCCCATTTCATTTTCAGATGAAATAGATTATGTTCTTTATTTTTCATAATCTATTTCATCTGAAAGTGAAATAGACTCACAGTTTTTCATCTTATTAAATCTGTCTAAAGCATAGTTTCAAGTTTACTATTTTATTCAGTTTGAATCACTCATTTAATTTTAGGGAGTACAGTATATACAGCTCTTCAGTTCTATCTTTAGCTTCATACAGGCCAAGGATGAACACAGTATCTAGTCAAAATGGCTGAAGAACTGAGACCCTAGGGAAAAAATGGAATTAATGTAAAAAATTTAGAACTACAGAAAGTTTTGCCTTTGGAATATATACAACATACAATATCACTCTGCCAAAAACTGAGCTGCTGACATCATGGAATCATTTTGGTAAGTTCAACAATCCAACAGCAGTAAGTTGAAGACAGTTTCAAGCTGTCAAATCCCATTTGGAGGAAACTGGAAGTTGTATTTAGTTGTATATAACTGGCTCCTCAGGGTCATCTTGGTTGACGATCTTGGTTGATGATCTTGGTTGTCAGAAGTCTGTCCATGCCTCTGTCCACGCCAAGGGGAAACACTATCAGGCACACATAATGGGGCAGAAACTGATGATCAACTGTGGCAGAAACAAGCCGCAATGAGGATATGAAGCAGGCCTTCAGCCAAGCGCATCCTCAGCTCACCAGTCTCCTCTGTGGTGTAGCTCCTACTGACTGACTTTCTTTTCTGAGGAGAAATCTATGAAAAACAGCAGGAAAAGGTTTCAAATTAAAAATTAAAATTTCATTTCTCTTCTTCTAAGATTAGGGCTATCATAAATTTCTATGCTGGCCCAAAAGAAAAGATATTTTATTCATGAACTCCCACAAGTTTACACTGAGAAATCAAGAGGTGGGAAATGGAGAGTTATTATTTTAAGCATTGACATATGCTTACCATTTTGTGAAATCAGTTGTGGCTTAGTTCTAATCATGCCCAAAGAAGAATGTTTTCATTCTGACTAGGATTCCAGTGGCTTGGGCATTTCCTCATGAAAGTCAGTCATTTCTATTGCTATTAGACTCAGCACTTACCCCAGAGAAAGATCATTTGCCAAATGAACACAAGACTGAAGGTTAAAATATGGCACTGGATATATTGTTAAAGCCATCCAGAAGATCACTGTTCTTAAGTTGGGTTAGCATATCATGAAGACTAGTAAGAAAAACCTGATGTAGATCAGAATAGATTGCCACAAATGAATATTACAAGGAAGACAAAAATCAAAGAGGTTTACATGCAACAGAAAAAAAATTACAAAAATTAAAAATATCAAGAAAGTGTTTTTATTATAGCTTAAAACATGTTTTACATTTGCTGCCTTGCATTTATCATATTAAAATATGCCAAACTTACATTTGTTAAAAACAACAACAAAAAAATCCAAAAGGGAGACAGTAAGTTACTTGTGAGCATTAAACTAAAAAGATATTTAAGGTCGAGACACAGTTCAACCACATAGAACTTGCCTATCACGTGAAAGGTCCTGGGCTTAATCTTCCTTTCTGACCACACACCCACACACACAGACACACACACACACACACACACACACACACACACACACACACAAGAGAAAAAGAAGAAAAATGAAGTCAAAAGTTTAACTCATAGATCTATCAATCTGAAGTTAATACTAAGCCAATTAACAATAATGTTGCCAGGGATTTATTTTTAAATATTTTGAAAAATAACTCTTTTGTTATTTGTTCAGTGCTTTTGTGAAAAAGGTTAGAACCAAGGTCATCATCATTGTGTTTTAGATGGAGAGAGGCTATAGCCCATGACATAACTCATGGAAGAATGGAAATTTCAACCAAAAGATAGGTTTTGCAGAGTTCCGCATACAGTGAAGGTAGAAGCCTCCCCTGTTCTAAGGCTTGGGTCCAGCTTACAAAGGTGAGGGAAAGAAAGGTCACCAGGGAATCACAGGTGCTCACTATGCTAGAAGAGGCAGTTTTGTCTTACTGGCTAGTGAAAAGTCCACTCACAATTTCTGTCCCTGAGTATTTATTACATGTTCCATTCTGTGCTTTCATGTTCACAAGAGTGGAAATTAAACAGTGTGGTGCTGAAGTGATCTGAAAAAGATCCTGAGACTTTGGTGATGGAGGCCCTGTCTTGACTCCCACCAAGGCCTGGCTGAATCTGAAGCTCAGTGGGCAGCAGGAGGGGAGGGTGTGCCCAAGGGCCCTTTGTTCTCTGTGGGACACCCTTCCTACCACTTGGATGCTTAGGGAGGAACAGGAAGCAATAAATGTTCTTTAGGCAAATAAATATCCTTTCCAGTTGGGATGCAATAACACATGTCTTGCATTCTTGCCCATAGAATTAATGTAATATTTACTTTGTGAAATTGTGACTATTCTAGATCTATTATGTGCATCTTTTCATTTAGACTCTATTTTCTATCTATCTATCTATCTATCTATCTATCTATCTATCTTTATCCATCTCTGTCTATATATAGTTATTAATAAGGATGTTTAATGTTTGCTCACAAATTCATGTTTGAATAGGAACATCATCACCTGTATATTCACATATATATATAAGTATGCTTTTATACTTTATTTTATCTTCCCTTAGCAAAGTCATTGGTCTTACTGATAAGCTGACTTTTACAGCATTATTATATGGATCAGGAAGCATTTCTCCTAAAATTCTCTTTTCAAAATCTTGAAACAGGCATATTATTATCTGTCTCTAATTTTCTATATTAGCCACTGGTAAAATACTTATAAAAATACATTTTGTAAAAGAAAAAATACTCTTAATAATTGGTCCATCTGTATTAAACATTATGCTAAGTACAATCCTAGATTTCCTGTTTCTTACATCTTATTAGTAGTTTTTATTATTTACAGTGGTTTCTGTATTTTTTTCCTACAGATAAGTGATGAAAAATATCCAACCAATCCAGCCATTTTACTAACATGACAATTTTCTGTAGTGATGAGATATAAAAAGTTATAAAAAGACACAAACTGAAAAATAAAGATATTGGTTTTAATTAAAGACAAGACCATTAGAATTTACTTGAATAAAACACCTGGAAACTTGTTGCTATTCTATTTTACTTAATATGTAACACTGATAGTTTGTACTGCTTAGTGGCTATGATGTGGCCTTTGAAGTCACACTGCCTCTGTTTGTCTATGTCCTAACCAAAAACTATGATGATATTATACATACACAGAGAATCTAAAATTATGTCTGGCATATTGTTAGTGTTATAGGTTAAATTATCTCTCCCCTCAAAGGTATATTGAGTATCCTAAAAACCTGGATCCTATGAATATGAATTGTTTTGAAATACAGTAGGGTCTTTGCAGATGTAATCAGGTTAAGATAAAGTCATACTAAATTAGAGTGGGCCCTAATCCAACATGAATGGTGAACTAACAAGAAAAGAAAAATTTGGAGACAGACCCAAGGGAAGACGATCATGTGAAGATGAAGGTGGGAAATGTAGCTGTGCTGCCATAAGCCATGGGTTACCTGGAGCTACCAGAGCTGAGAAAGGCTAGGAAAGAATCTCCTTCAGAGGTCTTCGGAGGGAACACAACCCCGCCAACACCTTGAGTTCTAACTTCTTGCCTCCGGAGTTGTGAGGAATAACTTTCTGCTCTTTTATGTCACTTAGTTTCTAGCACTATGTTATGGCAGTTCTAAGAAACAAAGTTAATCTGTATTCAGATATAATTAATTTGTCACTATTAGACATCAGTAAAGGCCAATTACAATATTTGGGTTTTGATCATCTGTATTGTAAAGAAGTAATTATTATTGTTTATAACACAATCTCATCTGTTTATCTTTCATGCCCTTCCAAATAAGTAAGAATTAAGCTTAAGCTCATTAGATAAAGTTCAACTCTGCACCATATGAAAAATTTGGAATGTGTAGAAGGGATTGGTCTACAATGCATTCGGGAATCATCGCGTTTTACATTTCAAAGAAGAAAAAACAAACATGTTTTCAAGGCTATACTAAGTCTACTCTGCTATAACTGTTTTGAAAACATGGAAATCATTTTATAACCCATTCTGTTAACACATGAAATGAGATTAAAATGTCCTTTGTAAAATCACGTTTCTAAATTCCCTACAATGAATGTAATTATTAAGCACTGGAAACATGTTACTAAGAAAAATTAAAAATAAAAATAGAAAAATAAAATTTAAAAGGCTATTTCATTCTTTTTAATGAGAAAGCCAAGTAAGTCTCAAATGCCTTAAAAACTTCATTTAAAAACATTTTTTTCCTTCTGTTTTGGAAATAAAACCTAGGACTTCTGTTCTGAGTTATATTCTCAGCTCTTTTTTTTTTTTTTTTTTTAAACGGGATCTTGCTAAATCATTAAGTTAATGAGGATAGGCTTGAACTTGTGAGCTTCCTGCCTCAGCTGCCCAGAATTCTGAGATCATAGCCCTGTACCACTATAACAGCTGCTGAAAATCTTTGATTTTTTTTTTTTTTTGAAAGAAGAGTCAATTTTCACTGTGTCTGTCAAACTCCTTAAAGTAACAACAGACAGCTACTGAGATCAAAATTGGAATTAGCTGACCAGAGGGCTATTGTGTGTTGTACACAATACTCTTTGGCCAGGAATTCTTCAGTGGGTCCCCGTACTTCAGAGGACTGTGCTCTGGCCCTCCTCCAGCTGAACCCCTCCTCATGGGATGAACATTCTCCCTCCAGAATAGGCTTCTGGCAGCCAAATGGGTCTCTTGCTCAGATGGCCCTGGCCCTGTTTCCAGGACACGGACTGGTCTTTCTTGAGGCCTGAGTCTGTGCAGGGGTGCAGTTTGCATGGCAGTGAAGGGTATAAGGAGGAAGCTAGAATGTGCCAGCTGGATTATCCTCAAGTCTACACTCAAGAGCCCAAACAGTGAGAAGGAGGGAACAAGGGGAGGGGGCAGCAGAAGGCCCAGGCTTAGGTCTCCCTAGGCCACTATGTTCTAGCAAAGAGCTGGCTTTGCAACTGAGCATTCCAAGTTTACTCTACTATATTTATCAAGATAAAAGGACAGATTATATTTGAAGAGTTTCTAAGCTTGATTCATAAACATTACACATATCATATGCAGCTCTCTGTTTATTCTTCCACCAGGCTCCAGGAATGTTAGAAGAAGACCTAGTGGTATTATTGAAATTTAAGCACTCATTACTTGCTGTATTTTTAAAATGCATGAAGCTACTTCTCTATAAACATTCAATGATAGAAAACAGAGCTACTATTTCAGACTTAATGGTCACAAGAGAAATAATTATAACAGAAGATATTAAGACAAAACTATGATGTGATGCATTTGTTAGAGTTCCAAAAGGTAAACTTGTGAATAATCAGGAAAATTACCAAAACAGAACTAGATGATTTACTAGACACAAAACACTAATTAATATTCACTTAAATATCCACATTTCTAACATAACTACCACATGATCTAAGCAGCTCATTTCCAGGAGGATAGCTAAAGGAAATGAAATCAACGTATGAAAGCGATACCTGGTCTTCCATGTTTATTGCAACACTATCCATAATAGCAAAGATATGGAATCAATCTTAGCAATCAACAGATGAATAGACAAAGAAAATGTGATCTACATACATGATGGAATATTATTAAGCCTTAAGAAAAATGAAATCCTGTCATTTGCAGCAAAGTGGATAGAACTGAAGGATATTATGTTAACTGAAATGAGGCAGACACAGAACAACAAATACCATAAAATGAAAAAAGTTTATCTCAAAGTAGAAGAGAGCAGAATAGTAAGTACTAGAAGCTATGAAGGGAAGGGGCATAGAGGAAAGTTGGATAATGGGTATCAAGACACAGCAAGAGGAAGTTCTACTGCTCTACAGCACAGGAGGATGATTACAACTTGCAGTAAACTATTATATATTTTATGAAGAACTAGAAGAGAAGACCTCAAAGACTCCAAACATATAGTAATGATAAGGAGATGGAAATGTTAATTACCCTGATTTGATCAGTACTCGCTATAAAATGTGAACTGAACTATCACACTGTACCTCATAATTTTATATAATTATGTGGTAATTTTTAAAAATTTAAAAATAAATAAATATTCACATTTTTAAAAAAGGACATTTCTTTAATATAAGTAAAATGAGTATTAGAAGAAAGAAATGTTAATTTTGAGAAATAATTTCTGTTTATAGATGATCAAATATAAGCTCTAATATTTTCATGTATGTTTCCCTTTATTGTTTTAATTTTGGTATTTTCAGCCTAAAACATGGTATATTGATGAGAAATATATCTTGAATAATAGATAAATATGTCATATAGTAAAATAATGATATCATTTCAAAATTGTTTGCAAAATTAAAAACTGTAAACCTGTGATTTCTTAATAATCATTACTATAAAATGAATTCCGAGTAATTGAGACAAACCTACAGATGAAAAATGTTCCAATTAAATGAGCTAAAACATGGCAGGAATCAGTACCGCAGTGAAATAATAGCACTTGAATCACTGTGATTCCAGTTATTGCCAATTCTTATGACCTGGCTTGAGCTGTAAATTACCAGCAGCCAGGGAGCAAAAAAGAAGCAAAAGGAGTCCCAGATAGATTTTTGAGTAAGGAATTTCTTTCTTTGGTGGTTCCCTACTTGTGATGGGCTCTTTCTTTGAGGCAGACAAGTCACAGTCACCTGAAGGGCAGTGTTGGTATGGAGAAAGACAGGTTTCTAATCCCAACACCACTATCAGGTTCCACCATTGCTACCCATTCACAGATTAGGGCAAGATGCATTAATTACACACCTACTCTTATGTGTCTTTTATCTGTGATATACTACATGGCAGGTGAGTAACACAAATAGCATATATTATGAGTTTGTAAAATAAAATTATTGAGGATTAAATGTTAGTCAGATAATCATCCCTTTCTCACTTTTACATCTACAATTTTTGAAGTGTTTAATAAAATGAGAGAAGTCAGTTTTCAAAGGCACTGTAGGATGTGTTTCAAAGCACAGGGTTTGGAATCCTAAATATTAAAGACTCCAATGCCAGTGCTAAATTTTACTGTGGACCTTCAGTATGTTACTAAATTCTCCAAACTTCAGTTTCCTCACATGTAAAATAATCCTATTTTATAACATTGCTGTGAATATTAAAATAAATGTTGTTTTAAAAATACTTGTAACATTATACTTGTAGGTACTCTTACTCAGTATTCTTATCACAAAGCTTATATTTCCTTAAGTAGACAATAGTCAGTAGATCTCAAATTCTCACTACAAAATTTCATTTTTGCATTTTAATTTAATTTCTGAAGCACAATTTATTTTTACTTTATAGAATTATTAGATTCTGTACCATTAGTTCAGGCAGAATTCAGTATTGATATATAAATGGCCTGATAATATTACTGAAATTTCTACTGCATAATTGTAATCTCTACTAAACTGCAAATCAGGGAGAAAATACCCTCAATATTCATTTCAGACCAATAGAAAATTAGAAGTTATAATTGGGTGGCAATTCAAGTATTATACAATAATGCATTTTAAAACATAGACATTAAACTATAATCATTCTAGTTAATAGTATGCCTTTCTAATAAATATTTTCCATTATGGTTAGGACCCCAAAACATCATTAAAACCAGTTTATATTTGTAGTAGAAAGGAAAGAAAATGGAAAGTCTGATAGTTCTCTGATAAATACCTGGATATTTTCTTATAGAATTCTCACTTTTTATATTTCTTCTCTAAGATTCTTCTCTAAGCTATGGCCTTTCTCATTATCACTGTTGCTATGTGCATTGCACAACACCAGGAGGCTTCCTTCATTAGACTACAATGAAGAGAACCTTTTAAACGTGTGAAGTTCACAACCTACAAAACATGTGACAATCCTGGTTCCCCCCTTCCATATCATAATAGATTCCTTGCATTTAAAACTAAAATGATATGATCTCAGCTCTGAATTGAATGTGACCAAACTTCAAATATGACCTACAGTTAGAGTAGAGTTCATCTTGAGGAATATTCAAATCCCTGGAGACTAACAAGGTAGATTCACAGGTGTGTGTCATAGGAGACTTTAGCATGTAACAAACATTGCTAACTTTTGGATACAAGTGATGACAGCAGAAATGGGATTCTGTTTATATCTTAGTTTATGCAGCCCACTCCTGGGTGGCCTCATGAGATTGCAGAAAGTAGTAGTAGGAAGTTTGGCAGATTCTGGAAAGAAGGAGGAGAATGGTAAACCAAAGAAAAATAAGATCAAAAAGTACTCTCAGTTGTGAATATTTTACAGGTGACTTTAGTTTTTCCCAGTGTAATTTGAGGTGGATGTTCTGGGCAAATCTGGCCTAAATGAAGAAGAGCTCTGTCTTGGAGTCTGACATTTAGTCACAAGAGAACACAATTCTGAGCCTTTGGTTTCCTCTGTCTGTCTGCCAGTGACATTTAAAACATCTGTCTAGAGAACTCAACCTGGAATAGTGGATGTGCATCTGTCCTTTGCAGTGGAATCACAAAGGTTTGTTGTTGTTGTTATAATACAGTTCTGCTTAAAGTTTTTATTTCTAACCCCAGATGGAATTCTGACTCTGAGACTGGAATAGGAACAGAAGCCAGAGTTGAGATTTATCCATTTATGCATTTGAACATTTTCTGTGTCTTAAGGAGTTCAATTTAACCCCAGGTCCATCAAATTAGAGTTGTGTGTGCAACACAAATTTACAGTAAATCCTTTCCGGGTATGAATGAATGTATGCTGAGTAAACACCCTAAAAAGATTCCATTAAAATGTAAACATGAAAGAATGCTCAATACAGCTGTGGTCTTACCATTTGCCTTGTGTTGTACATCTGGCGGAAGCTGGTCAAGAGCATACCACTGGTAGTCTGGCTGTGTGGAACAATAAATCATTATTATAACAATATGAACTTCAAACAAAGCATAGTGGCACATTAAAAATATAATTATGCTATGAGGCTTTTATTAAACAGGCAACATACAAGTAATTTCTACTAATCCTGTTGTCTATCTTCCTTTTCCCACTGACTTACCACCATCTCTCCCTACCCACTCCTCAATTCACTGTGTGTGGCTAGAATTTCTGTGATTTGGCAGTTGCAGTGTTTTCTTTCTTTTTTTTTTTTTTGAGACAGATGTGGTTTTGGATTTCTGCAGAAGTATAAACACTACTGAAGCCCATAAATAACACAAAGCATCTTACCATCAACAAATGCTGTTTGTAAAATCCTTACACTGGAGGCAATAAGAAGACCAGAAAAACAATACAAATTTATTGTTTTCTATGGCTCAGGGAAGAAGTCTAGCTATTATGTGAACATGATGTATAGAGGTTCAGCATGGTGAGGCATGACAAATTTCTTTCTTTGTACTGTTCCTTGGCAGAAACCCTTCTCTAAATTCCTTAGTTTAGACTTAAAGGAAAGACTTCTTTTGTAATTTTCCTCCAGGTTTATACATATTAAGATAAAAACAGCTCGATATTGAATATTAGAGAACAAGAACAAATTGCATTGAATAAATAATAAGTTCTAGACCTAAATGATCAAGATAGCTCCAAGGCTACCATCTTGGCGCTTAGCCCCTTGGAGCAATCTTAGCTTTCCCCACCCACAAAACCAGTCTGTCTTGTTATTTCAAGTACTCACCCTGCTTCCAACATCCCCACAAGACACAGAGAATACAGACCTTTGGTCCAATTATTTAATCATCTCCTATAAATAACACAACAATGAGCCAGTAGGAAGCACTTTTTAAGGCTGCCAGACCATGACAAGAAGTCTAAATGTTCGGTTAACTGACAAGACATTGAGAAATGCTTCATTCAGTATAGTCTGACCCCACTTCACCTCAGCTCAGACACCTAGCTGCTCAGCTCCTTAGGGCCCACAAAAGAGCTAGAGGAGGAAATGATCTCACCTCTGTTTTTTTATCTTCTCTTTATTTTAGATGTCTCAAATAACACATTGGATAAATGACGTGAGCTCCACTTTTATATTCCAGGAAACTTGCCAAAAGAAGGTAAATACACTGTAATTTTACTAACAGTGTGGTATGTGGTTTAATTCAGGCTTAGATGTAGGTAAGCAATACAAAATATTCTTTTAAATTAACTTTGAGGTTTTGTTACTGAGATTTTGCTGAGTGGAATACTGCTTTTAAATGTAGGCTATTATACATACCTTGGAATTCTTTTCCTAAGATAGACCTTTATTTGGTGTTAATTTTATGTGATCTAGACTTTCTTGCCTTTTCTCAGTGAAAGAAAAATTTTGTGAGCCATTCTATGTGAATTCTTTCCTTTTTTTCATTAATAAAGATTTCACAGGAAGTCTATCTCCTAGACAAATTTAAATGACTGCTCAGTTTTATGCTTAATCTTTCACAACAATATTTCTCCAATTCCTCAACCTGTAGGAGCTAAGTAAGTAAATTTCCATCTCTTTCTGTTTGCTCAAATCTTTGCTCAAATCAAATTTACTTCTGCATCCTTTAAAAATATTTTTAAAGAAATAATAGCTATGTTGAGGATTCCAGAAAGTTCCTGATAAGGACTGAAAAGCCAGAAAACAGCTAAAGAATACAGGAAATAGAGGAAGGAAAGCAACCAGCAAATGGCAACAGCAAGAAAATAAATTCTCAGCAGAATGCTGTGCCATACCAGGGTCAAGTAAGAGATGCTCATTAAATCTTGACGTCTCTGCCACCCAAAGAGTCATTATCTCCCCTGTGGGAAACAGGCTTGATGTCACACTCAGATATGGAATGTAAGAGTTTCAGGCAACCCAGAGAATCATGTTTTTTATAAGTGGAGTTTTTAAAATCCCAGTTAAAAATCTTCTATTTTTGGTGTAATTAGAAGTATAGGTAATAAAATCTAAGGGATGAGTATTGTTGTTTGAGAAAATTTTAAAAATGCAGAAAAATGTGTATTTTTTCCTAAATAAATGTTCTGCCTATGTAAGCAAAATGGGGAGTAGAGGCCAGCATCCCCATCTTGGGGGAAGGGTAGGAGGAATACTGCTCTTGAGAAAGAAAGGAAGGGTGGTTCAGGTCTGATTTATTCAGGTTGACTGTCCAAATCAATTCCACTCACAAATAATTGCTCAACTGTTCATTTTATTTTGCCTGGGTACACACAGCTATAGAGAACAACTTAAGTGGGTCACTTTATTTTGTGTCTTTAAAAAAAGTCCTTTCAATTGGAAAATGTCAAAAACTATTTTGCACATATGCAATGATATTCACAGTAGTTCAGTATAAATACAACTGAAGAAAGCATTTCATTTCTTTGTTTTGCTAAATCCTCTTTGCTTCTCTTTATACATACAAATATCCTTTGGGTAGAGTCAAACATGACCTTGGAAATGATCCATACAAAATGTTATGTTTGTTCAAGGAATTATAGCTCAATTTGCTATCTGTTAGTTAATTTATTCATATCTATGTGGCCCATGGATTCAATGCCACAAGGATAATTACAGTATACATGGACCACTGGAACTTTGCAAATTGGAGACAGACAAAATAGAGACTCTTTCTATAGACAATATTATGTGCCAAAATTCCAGAGATGCATATAATTTCTACTAAAAGAGAAAACCAAGAGCTTATTGCTAAAATGGGAACTCTTACTTACTGGATGCTCCCATTGATCCTGCACAGCCTCGGGGCCTGTTGGTTTCCACAGATCCTGCAGGTGGAATACTAAGCCACAGTTGCAGCTTGGGAGATATACCTGGGGAGAACAATGCTGTCAGTTCACCGGAAGTGGCTGAAATTGGGAAGTCACACTGACACTTGCTTTTTACAACAAAGTTTGGTTTAAACCCTAAGGTTTTGCTTTTTATGCCATAATTCCAACTAATAAAAAAAGTCAATAGGGACTAGGGATTGATACCAATGAGGCTTAAAGGCTATATCTTACCTAAGATTACACTACAATTAACTCTTCAATTTGAAGAAATTAGAAACACTTGAAAAGTACATACAGTTAACTGTGTTTCTGAGTCAGGTTCATAGAGGGTCCTCATTAAACACAATCTATACATTGAGCCATAAAGCAAGTTTTATTAAACTCCAGCCAGAGACATAATTAAGGTCTAAGCAGGAAGTTATGAATTAAGATAAATAATATTTATTTTTAAAGCTACTAGAGAACTAGCAAGATGGAATAATTCAGTGCCCAAGAAGAGATTTTATTTTCTAAAAAGAGACAAAAGTCTGTGGTGTAGTTTTCCACAGTAAATGGTGTAAGAAACTGTAAGAAGTACCAAGGAAATGTATTTCCCAGGTGTGGGTGGGTTTCTGAAGAAATCTTCATTTGAGTAAACACCCACTAAGGCTGGCTTTTTTGGTACCACGCTTTTCACAGCATATGTTTTTCATGAATGTTAGGGCTAAAAAGCTTTCGTGGTTCCCAAGCACAATCCATCCATTCATATTTTAGTGGATAATGAAAAGCATGGGTTTTCCTAGGCCATCTGTAGCAGAGCTTGAATGTGCTTTAATGGGGACCATGAAAAATATTGTACATGGGGAAAATGTGTGAGTAAAACTTAAAATTGCCATTTTAACCAAGACAATGGGGCACAGGTAAGGGTAACATACCTGTTTTAGTTGCTTTTCTAGTTTTTCTTTCTCCATTTGATAAGCTTTTATCTACAAGGGGAAAAAACATTTGTTTATCAGGAAGAGTTCAAGTCACTGGTTTCAAAACTAATCTTGACCCAGGTGTCAGTGACCTACTCTGAAGGAATTGATAGCAGTCATGCCAAGAATCACATCTTGTTTCCTCAAGATATGCATTGATTCCATCTTAAAATTCTCAAGTGAAATTTATAAAGCTGCATAGTCTTATATTGTTATTCCAATCTGTTGAGCCCATTATAATTCTTAGCCTTGGATTGGTCTTATCTTGATACACATGTAGAAAAACCTTCTGTGGATCACTCAATGTAATTAGAATTGGACAGCCTGACATTCAAAGGCTTCCACCATAAGGTTAGAAGATGTATATACAGTTAATACAAGGCGGACACTGATCTGCATACTTTATGCACAGTAAATTCTTGAAGCTCCCCAAAGGCCTTATGTGGTACTTTATATTATCACCCCACTCAATAGATGAGAACACTGAGACATGAGATGCTGAATAAGTTGTTCAAAGTCACACTGCTCTGCTTTCTGTCTTCTCACTATTTAAAGCCCAATTTTATCTTAGCAGGGTCACCTAGACTAGGTTTTCTCCACACCTGATACTCCTAGAGAGAGTATCAGGTGTGGCTTTGCTTTGACTCTATAGTCATACCATTGTCAATCCTATACTCCATGTTCTACATCCCTATAAGGTATGGTTACATGCATGTGTCCTGCAAGATAATTTCCAGGTCTCACCCATCAGAACTAGTCCCTCTTCCCCTCATCCTTTCATTTAACCTTGTATATTTACTATGTGACTTTTTAGCCCAGTATATACTATGTATAATCAATTCTTGATATGTGTAGTAAATATGATCTATAAAGTAATCACAAACATTGAACAAGTGCTCCCAGGAGAAATTCAAGGTTAGGCTCCTGTGAGCCTCTAGTTACAACATTTTTTTCAACTGATTGGTATATAACCTTGTTTTATGTGCATTAATGTTTAAAGATATGTTATTTAATATATATTGTTGATTTATTAATGCTAAACTCATAGTCAATAGACACATAACTTGTACCTATACAAAATTCACTTAACACACTTGTTTACTCTGTATGGCACATCTCAGCCATCTTACTTTCAGGAACCCTAGACAGCACTTTAGCACTAGGTATGAGATTATTTTAAACAGTGAAATCACACACACACAAAAGCAAAAAAAACAAAAACATGGCCCTAAACAGACCAAAAAAGGACACATTATAGTGTATGAACTGAAACAAGTCGATCAGGGGAGGGGCAGGGGAGGAAGAAGGGGTAAAGGGATCGAAAATGATCAAGATATTTTATATGCGCGTATCAGCTTCCCAAACAAGTATCACTATTCTTTATTGCAAACATACAGTAATTAAAGAATATAAGAAGGCAGAACACTGCCTTGTTTGACTTCAGCTATGAACATGTGTCAGGTGATTCAAGTTTGCTATTGTACTGTTTATGCTTGTGAATGCACCACACAATGATTTGGGGAGTAGACAAATTCACAAATATAGAATTTTCAAATGATAGAGATAGCCTATATATGTCTTTTTGGTACATTATGAATATTTTAATTGCAAGGACCAATTTTTTAATTTCCTCAAAGCACATGGCAGAATAATTTTCAGAATGAAAAGATCAAAGTTAGATTGCAAGGAACTGAAAGTGGCACACTAATTTTACAACTAAATGGAACTGCTAAACATGATCCCTTTGATGGACTACAATTATGAAATGCTTTTGAGCCATAATTTGGGGTTTTTTTTAACTAAAATAAGGTTATTTACTTAAAAATGATACATTGGATATAATCTGTATATAGAACAAAGAAGTTAATGGTAAACTGAGTAAGGCACCCTTTAAAGCTGATGCTGGCAAAATATATTTAGTGTGATATGTATCAAAGATCTGGATTTTTGGTGTTTTATATTTGTATAATAAAACTGCTTGTTTTTACCCTTTTTAATGCCTATGTAGTTTCCCTAATTAGCTCAATTGATATTTTCATTTTATACAACATATAATACATCTTAGTTTTCAGCGAGAAAGGATAAAGGTCACTAAAAAAAGTTTAAATAATTCTGTGAAGCAGAGGACAGAGCACAGCTAGCATCACCGTGGCATGGTTCACCTTCTGCAAATGCCATATTCACACTTCTCACGGGTGGCCCTGACAGGAGGGTCTACTTGCTGTTGCCCTACACTTAATCTGCTTCTTTTTTTCTTTTGGTTTTTGAGACAAGGTCTCGCTATGTAGTCCAGGCTGGCCTTGAACTCACTATGTAGCCCACACTGGCCTTGAACTCTCAATGATCCTCCTGCCTCAGCCTTCTGAGTCCTGGGATCACAGGTGTGCAGCACCACACCTGGCTTAATCTGGTTCTCGTGACATGTATGCCCTCTTTGCAGTTCCCACCATGACCCTTGAGCTAAGTGTTTTGATAGAGGTTCTCACCCCCTGTGCTACCCCACTTAAGAGACAAAACAGCTGAGAAGACATGAGGTGGTGGTTATCTTTATCCATATTTCATAGGTGAGTGTACTGAGCAAGGTTAAGTAATTTGTTTTGGTTTTAATGAACATTCTAGAGATCATTTAGTCTTTTTCATTTTACTGATGAGGAAAAGGAAGCATAACATCAAATGAATTGCTCAAGGACTGGACACCACCAATGGAGTGTCAAAGGAGGCAGGATTGCAGGGACTTTCCCCTATATTCCTCCTATTTCTAAGTACCCTAAGTATCTTTCACTTCACCACAATGTCTACTTACCCATTGTTATTGGCTTAAAACATCCTAAGTGAAAAAAAAAAATCCTAAGTGATAAAATGAATAGACTCTGGTATATAACTAGTGCCAGAGTAATTTAACGTAAAAATTCATTCAAACTTCAGTTGAACAACATTAATAATGTGCTACTTGACTAAGATAATGTCAGTTCTTTTTATTGTACCATGGCATTTATTCTGCTGTTAATATATATAACATAGATCATCAAGTCAATCTACTATATCTCTATGAATTTTATTATTTTTTTCTCCTGAAGTGAATGATTTTTGAAAAAATTATTGGGTTATCATTATTTTAAAGAAAATTTTTTATAATTCAATGTATCACTAAGATCTGAAGATTGGTCCTTCACTTACAAATATAATTTTGCCATACCATACTTAGAAAATATATTTATTTTGTTGATATTAACAGAAAATTACTTTACAGACAAAAATTACTTGTGGATCATACCTAAAATGTTAAGTGGATAGATACGTGCTTCTGATTAGACTAAAAGTTCTGTAAAGTCAAGACAGTAGCCAGTCTTAGACACCAATTTACATCAATTTGAACTTAATACAGTCGAATGAATAAAATTAAAATATAGCAGAAATAAAATTAGTATTTGTGCACTGGCAACTTTAAACAAGTTAAGGCCACTTTGCATGTAAGAAATAAAAATTGAGAGAGCAAATTCTTCAAGAATAATCAAAACATTTTCCCCACCCATGTTTCATAAATTATTTATTAGGTTGCATAAATTATTTTCGGCAAATTATCTAATTATATTTTTATCCTTCTAATTTTTATTCCTTTATTTTGTTCCTTCTAATTTCTTAAAAAGGAAATGGTTCTGCCCAATAATTTTCCATATAAAACTAAGAATTTCAAGCTAATCCTTGTAAATATATGAGGAAGGGAATTAAATTTAATTTATAATATACTTTTTATGAGAAAGAAGAGATGATTAATAGTTTAAAAAAATTTTTGAAGACCAAAAATCTTCAAGCTAAAGAACTACCATAGCATGTCTCACACAAATTTCCACCTTATTGAAAAGCACCGCATGATTTTGTGAATCAAAAATGTTGTGGTTTATTTTATTTCCTTAAGTCAAAATCATGTTAACTACATTTTCCTTCATTAACATTAGTATTTGCACATCGTGGTGACTTCCTGAACCTAATTTTTATATATCTGATTACACTCAATTTTAGTTTGATTACATTTAATATATTCTGTTCCAGTAAACTGGCTTCCTTGAAACTGCTCTAGTTACATTAAATCTGAAAACAAACTAAAACATCTAAAGTTTCACTAGACAAATACATGACATTCAGAAAACTGTATGTTTTTAAAAGATAGGAACATTCCAAATGGCCCTTCAAAGAAAATGACAAGAATTTAGAAACCACTTCACTGTATTTGAGTAGTAGGTAGTTCAACTCCAGTCTACAAAGATAAATATTATGAAAAAACGATCACAAACTGTACTTTATAAAAGACTTTGGAATCCAATTTCTTGAGTAATTCCTTAATATACTTAAGTTAAAAGAAATTTCCAGTCGTTTTCATTTCTTTACAAGATTGTGCAAGAATGATTTCATAGCAGGTGCTGCCCTCTCAAAAACATCCAACGTCAATTAACAGAAGTTAAAAAGACTTCAATAACATTAAAATGAGAAAGTAAAAATAAAATCCACATGTGTCTGACAAAGATTACTTTGTTTTGACTTATACCTGAGAACTCAGCCTGTTCAACTGGGATTGAGAAGTTTGATTAATCTGCTGTAGCTCTTCTTTCTCCTGACTAAGTCTTTCTCGATCTGAGCGCTCCTTTTTGAAGTCTTCTTCATAGATTTGGACCTAAAATACATTAATTTGTTAGCTTACTTTCCTCTTAGGTCTTTTAAATGATTTCAGAAAGAGTACTATCTGAGCCTTTGCAAGAGGAGGCATTCCTATCTCTGTTCATGACTATTTCTTCATAGTAGGATGGGAAGTACACATGACTACAATTTTATCTTTCACTTTCAAAGTGGAAGTCCTCCAATTTTTCCTCTTCTAAGTGCACATCAGGAATTCAGAAGTGAATAAACAACATGACTATGTTTTAAAAAGAATTCCCTTCACCCACTATTCTGCTGCATCTTCTGTTTGTGACAAATCCTTGCCTAATTTTAAGTGGCACTGCTTTAGAGCAAGTTCCCCTTCCCCAGCACTGGGATCTTATGTATGAATACTGCTGGAAGTTCTCCAAGATGGCTGAATGGCAACAGCTGTTAAGTGAAGCCACCAAACACAGACATGGTAAAACTTCCAGGTATACATTTTAAGTTAAGTACAGAGATAAGAGGCTGATGTGTGTGGAAAAACAAAGCATGCTTATTTAAAGGTATTCACAAGTTTTGTCTTCTATGAGTAATTCTGGAAGTAAGTGATAAAAAGAAACACTGTAAAATATTTTACCAGAATACTTCATAAGCAGTATTCCAAACATTCCAGAAAAGTGACCAAACTGAAAAACAGTTAGTTATTGTTGTTGAGTGATGACTTGGAAACTAGCGTATGGAACTAAAAACAAATGAAACTTAGAAAATAAAACAAAAGATTTCCTCTAAAAGATTTCCTCTAAGACCATGATTTAAATTACTACTTATATCGAAACCTCACAGGGATTGAACCCAGGGTCTCAGTCATGCTAGGCAAGTGTTCAATCACTGAGCACCATCCCAGCCCTTCAGGGCTGGACTGCTGTCTAACACTAATTTCTTGGATTATCATTATTATTATTATTATTACTGATGTACTGAGAACTGAACTAAAGGAACACTCTGCCACCAAGGTATATCCTCAGCTCTTTTTGTTTTTGAGACGGAGTCTTGTTAAATTAGCTAGGGTGGGATTAGAGGTGTCCGTCTGCCACCCCACCCAGCTCACATTGCACTTTTATCAGGAGCAGCTCAACAAATTTTAACTAGAAGTGTATCCATTTAGGTCAATAATAATAATAGAACAAAATGCAAAGGCAAGAAAAGAAATTAAGTATTCTGTATAGCTATTGATAGATTTAAATGCTTTAATCGATAGAAGCATTGCAAGAAAACTACTTGCACCCAAGCTGATATTTTTGTTTTATTTTTTAATTGAGAGATGAGGTTCAATTTCAAACATAAACTCATGTTGTGTCAACAATTACCCGCAGTATTTTTAGCAGGAGAAGCCCATCTGATCAGAATTGAACACTCTAACTGTGAGCCATGTCATCACTGTGTTCAGGTAGGGGCCAAGATTCTAACTCAGTTTCTTTGTAAATTCATAGCTTCCAGTGTTTCATGTGGGACTTGGTGGTGTTATAATTGTAGGTGCCTGATTAGGAACATGCGCAGTTAGGATGTATATGCAGAAAGTTAGCAAAGAGTCATTCCAGAACTAAGGAGATGAATTTTGGTCGACTCTGGGTGATTATGGAAAAACGACACCAGCCACTGTCTATACCAGACTCAAGCTAAGGAATGACTGTACCTCCATGTGTCAGAGCAGCTGTCCCATGGGGTTTACATTATGTGAGCACCAAAGATGATTCAAGTGTCTGAACATAGGCAGTGCCCTCACCCCGCAGAGAATCCTGGCTAGCACCAACAGTACTTCAGGGGTTGAGAATTTGACAGAGCTTTAACAATCTAAGAATTACCCTTATTCTCTCCATGGGTTTATTTTAAGTCATTTACATAATCCTAATGTAATGAAGCAATTATTCAAATGTGATTGCTGGGAGAGAAAACTCAACTTTACCACCAAGTGCTCTAAGTTGTTTAGCTCTATTTGCAAATAGTCTACTTCCTATGAACTTATAACAATAAAATAAGTTAACAATAACACAATTGCTCAATTAGTCTGTGTATTACAATGAGACTCAGGGCAAAATTAGCCAACAAATCTCACTGAGAAAGATCAGAAAAATAATACTTTCCAGCCCTTTATTCTGTGACACTCTCTGCTTCATGGCTAATATGTTATTGTCAATTTGTACTTCAGGGATTGTGATTCCTCTATGTAGCTTATGTTTGTTGATATTACCATGGACTGTTCTAGTCTTTTACCTAATTGGTTTTTTAGTCTCTCAGAACAAAAGAAATGCATGGCTGGTCCCTCAGGAAGGAAAACTCCAGCTGGTAGAACTAAATTTAGTATAAGTGGTTGAGGTAGTGCTATATCCTCACAGTCCTATGCTGATAAATGTAGAAACTGTAGATAGCACATCCTAGTACTTGCTGTCCTCTTGGCAATAGTAAGTGGGGTCTGGTGAACAGAGAGGAGGAAGCTGTTGTACATAGACAAATTGTTGGTGGTACATACATGTGTGTGGGTAGCTGAGCATATCTGACTCTTCAGTGATTATAATCACTGCAAAATATTTTTTTTAAAGCTGCACTTATTGTTGAGGCCAGCAGCTAGGAGATGACTGCCCCCCTTCTACTACTTTCTGTAAAGAGTTTTGGTAGCTGTGTTTTCAAAATAAATTATGCCTACGTGAAGTTCTGTAGTCTCAGTGCCAACAGAATCTCATCCAAAGGTTAAGTAGTATCCCCCTCTTCTAACTGTGAGATTTTGGACAAGCCATTTAACTCAAGTCCTTCTTTTATGAACTATGGGAACAAAGTAGCTGATCTCTATTCTTCCTATCAAGCTTTAAGATTAGAAAATTCTAATTAAAAGCAATGTGGATCTTATTCCAAGATACATCATGTACAGGTACAAGCACCCAATGATAAATGTAAATGTACTGTATACCTAAAATGCACCAATAAAAGAATTTAAGCAAAAAAAAAAAA